CCGCCCCAGGAAGTCAACCACTGCTTCCTGTTATCTTTTGCAGACCCTTTTTTTTTGTATTCTGCATATTTTCCTGCTTCCCCTGTGTCTTCTATCATTGATGACCATTTAAAACTAATGAATTGCATTAGATACGGAAGCCTGAAGCCGATGTATCCATAATACATGGCAACATTGAAAGGACAGAAAAAAGAAGACAGGAAATAACCTTGTAGGATTGAAATTCATGTCAGCTCTCATTTAGTTTGTCTTTTTCTGGCCGCACTAGCTCTTTGCAAGTCTTTCAGTACCACAGGCTCACTCAAAACCGGAGCTATCAATCATTTACTCCCATTTCATATTCTCCTTCACCACCTGATTTGCATCGGTTTGGCAAACTGCCCCGGGCTGTTGAATATTCAAATGGAAGTGCCCATTTGTTTTGATTATGCTAATTGACAGCTGTTGATACAACTCCTGACATTAATGAATCAATGGCACTCCTGATGAAATATGAGTTACCGTTCAGGGCAGATTTTGTAACCTGCTTACTGTCCTGGCGGTTTTAGAATTGTTTCACTTATTTCTCATGGAACTGGTTTAGTTGGGTCGAAGGCGCCACCTGAATTGAATTTGCCTCTACCTTCTCTTTGCAGCAATTGTGTTTTCCAGAGGCGGTGGGTGAGATTCAACGGCGAGAGCCTGGCCTACTACAACAACGACAAGGTAAGCGAGAGAAAAACACACGTGCATGTTCACACTTCCTCTGCTGACACACCCACATCCTAAATCTATACCATGAGCCGCTTAGCCAACTTCTAAGTGTTCTCCTCCTCCTCGTTTTCATCCTCATCATCATCATTAGCTTGGCAGGTTAAAGAATGAGGGCAAGGACAGAGCAACATTAAGCCACGCACGGCGGGCCAGCAACTCTCTGTGCCCGCCCAGCCGTACAGTAAAGTACATTGATGTTGGCACCTGACCAGTTCCCCCAGAAAGAAAAAAGGAGAGAGAGAGAGGGAAGACTCTCCTCACTTTTTGCCTCCCTCAGCATTTATTTCTCCCTCTGTACCTCTCTCTATTCTCCTCCTGTCTGACAGTTGAGTTCGAGCACTGCCTGCCTTATCATCACAGGGAGGGAGAAAGAGTCGGGGTTAGGTGAGGGTATGGGAGTTGAACAAGCAGAAACTAGGGAGGAGGGGGTGGAAGATGCAGGGAGGATGGCAGTTCTAACTCCACATGTTTAGCCTGGAAAGTTCTTGTTTTTAGCCAACTAACTATTTTGGCTGCCAATTTGAATCAAGACAACATAGTACAGTATAAGAAATGACTGCTGTGGATCAATTGCTTTAAATCCTTAGAATATAACACAATCGAAACCTAACCCTAATGAAGGTAAAGAAACTACAAGAGACATCATATTTGTCATGTCAGCCCAAAGTATGTGTCTGAATACTTGGAGGATATTCCAGGTGTTTATACTATCTGTCACTCAAGATAACCTTTCTCATGACGATGAGCTACTGAACCCTTTAGCATTCTTCAGCACACAATAGAAAAACAGACAGTCAAAATACTTTATATCACAGATATCCATTGTAATTATTTGTTATTTAGCAGCCTCCATTACCTTCATTAATGATTTAGAATGATGTATTTTAAAATGGTAATCAGGAGATGATTTCTTCTTTAAATGTCTTCTTCGCATATTATACTCTTAGATTGAAAAAGGGTTTAGGAAACATCTGATCAAAGAGCATTTCGGCAACAATCACAACCGAGCTCTGGATACCACATTTAGATTCTTAAATATGTACAGACATGTTTCAGTCAGTACTAATTACATATTGAGCGTAATGCCTTTGTAAATCAATCTGCCCTCAAACTGCATTATCACGTAACAATGAGACAACATCTGACAACAATGAATGTAGATAAGATTGTATAAGTGTGTACATATTGTATATGTTTAATGGCATTAATTCAACATAGAAAGCACATTAAACTACTTTTCAAACTACGCTTATAGAATTGATAATGAACAGGAAGCTTTGTCAAACTGTTGAGTATTCATTATTTGTATCCAGAAGCTTTCATAAACCCTGGCTTTATCCTTTGCAAAAAATACCTTGAATGCATGAATTCTGTGTTCTCCAGTGAATCTCAAGCGGCCATAACCTCGCTGACATAATGTGCTTTACCTTCATGTCCTTGCTAATGACCATTGGATGTATTTTGCACCAAGAACAAACACATTTCTGTGTGTGTGTGAGCGGTGACCTCAGCGCCCCTTTTCAGGGCCAGCTCGTTTTCGCTGCAGCAGCGACGCACAACATCACAATCAATGATGTGGGACCTGTCTGATGCCCGCTCGTTAATCACCTACTAATTATAGCCCTCCACGCTCTCTCGCTCCCAGGCCTCTATCTCTTTTCCTTTGGTTTCTCTATCCTTTGAATTTGTTGCTTTATTTGTCAGGACACACTCCATCGCCAGCGCGGCGGGAATCAGCAGGGAGGCCGGCGAGTCAGCACTTCATACTCCGTGTCACTGTCGGCGAAGGCACTGCACTTTTTTTAGAAAGATGAAAGTTTGCCTTTGTGTGTGTGAGAGATTGTTGTTAGACTTTTTAAAGTCACCCTGCAATGTGACTCTCCTCTGAGGAGGCTTCATCATGTTTCGGGTGAGCGGAGAGGTCGAGTACAATCTCTCTGTCATCCTCGCGTTATGCAGCCAGCTGAGGCCCCGCGTGCCACCTCCAGAGCCAGCGTGGGGGTACAAGGAAATTGCATGGACAGACAGGGAGTCTCTCAGCACCGCTTTATGTCAGGAATTGAAATATGAGTTGCTGGCTTTCTTTGCCTCCCAGTGCAGAGACATGCATGTGCTGCTACACAGAGTGCAGACCACAAGCTCCACTGCTCAGTTCACAAGTCATTTTTCATCCCGTGTTGTTGTCATTATGTTGAAGGGTTACAAAACCTTCACAATTGATCTCACATCAGGCGTATTGATTATCGGATCATTACATTTCCAAGTGGGTGAGCTCCTATGCATTTTTCATATTGAAGTGCTTCAACTAGAAGCAGGTTTGCCAGCTAATTTGAAGTGTAATGCCCGTTTTTAAATATTCCAAAGGGTTTATTTGTCATATGCTCGATAACTATGGCAGAGTTTTGGCAATGAAACTCTTAGGTCTCTGCCAACAAAGCATCAGACAGTATACTTCTCAAAAACAAGACTTAAAACTGAGCAATATTGCAAGTGAGTTCTAGGAGAAAGAACAATAAATAATTAAAAATTTAAATGAAATAATGTAAAGTAGAACTATTACTATATAGTGTAATAATACATACAGTAATCATATAATACTTGTGTGTGTGTGTATATATATATATATATATATATATATATACAGTATATATATATAACACATGTCATGGTATTTTGGGTTAACATATGTCAAGGTGTAATGAGGCAAAGTAAACCTGAGTAATTCTGACTCACTTTGTCTGCATCTATTATATCTATTATTACCCAATATGTTATAATCTCAGCTACATGCTCGTCCCAATGTCCACAATGTCCACAGTGGCAAGGATGACATGCTGCTCTCATTTAAGTTTAGCATGTTAGCAATAATAACACTTAAGTACAGTCGAGGATAATATTAATTTAGCCTTTTCAGATATCTCAGAAATGATGTAACAACAAAACATTTCTCCAAAAACTACAAATTTGAATACATTAGCAATAAAACACATCCAATGTTGCTGCTATAACCCCACTAGGTCTGTTATGGCTAGTAGCATGTTGCATCTAATGTTAGCTAACTTGTATAGATAGGATCCAGACTTTTTATCTCTTATATGAAAAACCAGCAAAGATATTGTTTTTTATGTTTTCAATCTTTACTACTGTATGCACCAAAAAAACCACACACCTCCACTCTTTTAATATTCCCATTCTTGTTCTCTTTCTCAAACTTTAAACTACCCCAGAAAACTCTTTCTCTGGGATCTGTCAACCCCAGACAGAAGTAATCGCACTTAATCGCAGTCCCAGCTTGAAGGTCTCTGGCCGCCATGATGTTATCATCGGGGGTAGCTGAGGTGGCGTGGGAGAGTAGCGAGATCCTCGGTCTCACTTCTCCCTCTCTGCAGCGCTGTATCCAATCCGCCACATCAATCACTCCTTTCGCCTGATTTCGTCAACACCCGGATTGACTTGGGAGAACGCTTGGGGCCTGAGAGGCAGTCTTTAGGGTACCGACATGGTGTCGTGTGTGTGTGTTTGTGAAGAAACAGTCCAAAGCCTGGCTTCAGGGTAGCAAAGGGAGGAAGTGAGGAGGGTGGCTGGGAGGGATGAAGGGATGAGAAGATGGGGGAGGGAGGTGGAAGCTGAATAGCAGGCCATAGGGGAGCTGAGGTTTTAGGATCGGGGATCAGTCTTTGAGTGTATCAGTCTCCATGATTGTCTGTCTGCAAAGCTCTCTCTTTCCAAGCCTGAAAGCTCCTCTGCTTACTCCCTCCTGTGTCTTCCCAAGTTGCCCTTGCTGACACTTAGTGTAACACTCCAAATGTTTACTTTGTATTATTTCTGTGTGAAAGTATGCAACACATCTAGCTGTTGTAAAGAATCTTAAATGATGTCAATGTTCTTACCATTTGAATCCATATTAGTGCTACTCTTGATGTAGATTTTACAGCATTGAGTTGTGAAAGAGCTTTGAAAACGTACCGTTGTTATTGCCAGGGGCTTATTAGCTGACACAGTTAGCCACAAGCTCACAAAGCATTTACCTGCGAAAGAGGCAGACTTAATTCTCATAAGTTGGCCAAACTGAACTCAAAGAGAGTGCATTTTGGACTTGGACTCATCAGTTGAACAAAAACAGGACTTCAAACTATTACATTCTTTGCATATATAAGCCATTTTTTGCTATGATGCTAACAATATCAACATTACAGTATAAGGTGACATGTAAATGTTTGCAACAATGCCCACCGGTGGCTAACAATCAAATGCATGTTTAAGCATAACCCTAAATCTTTGTTTTTGCCCATATAAACTCGTGAAATGTTAAAAAAAGAAAGAAAGATGCCCACATGCTTTACTATTTAAATATTTAATCTGAATTATTTGGTTACACTGTATGTTCAAAAACCCTTTTGACCCATTGCAGCATTCAGGGACTCACAAGTCCTCTCAATCGCACTATGAAGACTTAATGTAGACTAATTCACTAGGAACACAGCTCTGCCTGGAAGCAGCCTCTTTAAAGTCCTCGAGGCACCCTACTTGGTGAAACACTGAGTAAGGACGCATTGCTTTCAACAGGCAATATCTCTAAGGTGCAGTGCTCCGCTCCAACCAGTTGGTGTCCTCATGCCTCCATTGAAAACTCTCTGCTTTGAGATGCCAGAACCTGAACTCCGTGCTGGTGGTGAAAACTCTTTCCAGCCTCTTCAGCCTCCTCCCTAGTTTCTCCACACACTGCCTTCATTATTAAAGGTCTTAGCTCAATTGCTCTGCTTTAATTGTTTCCTGAAGTTTACCAGGTTGTTTTTTTGAGAAGAAAAGAGACATAGTTATCCATGTGAAATAGTCTCTTCGACGAAGAAGTGACATGACATACGGTTTTGATAGGGAACGGCTAGAATGAGAGGAGTGGGAGGGAGGTCAGAGTGAGGGGGAAAGGAGATGTTTGGCAGAGGGAGGCGAGGCAGGTGAGTCTGTTGGAGAAAGAGAGATAGTTAGGCCTCATTGCTTCTTTGGCAGTCCGTTCTCAAGAGAATAATCTCTAAACACTGTGTGTTGGGGGGGGGGGGGTCGGCCGAGTTGTCTGACCGCTCCTCTTTTCCCCGTCTCTCGTTGCCTATCGAGGTATTTACAGATGCACAACTCGCAATTAAACAGCTCTCTCCTCCATGACCCTCAACAGTAGAATTAAAACAATGAATTATCGTTAACCCGTACCGAGGTATAATTATCAGCCGCGTGCTTCCTCTTTTCCTCACCTTCCTTTAACTTCTATCTAAAATTAGAGAGCGAAAGAGGCGGGGAGACATTAGTGTGAAACTCCTGAGGAGATAAACGCACGATGCTGAATGTCGGTAATTAGGTTGAGCCACTTCTTGCCATTGTTAACATCCTGTCTTATTATGAGAAGGGCCCCACACTGACCCCTTTTTGGCCTCCTTATTCCGACATGATGTTTCTCTTCTATCCGTAACCCTTTCTTTTTCGGATGATGTAATACTTTTGATCTTTTCTGTATTGTGTTTCTTTTCCTCAGTCCTCTCCTTGGCCTTTCACACAAACCTAATTCTCTTCTTTTTCAAATTTCACGCCCCCCTCCCTCCCTCCATCCATCCCTGCCTCCGCCCCCGCTCTCCCTAACTGACTGCACTTGCTGGTGTATATTTTTGGCTCTACTGTCTCTAGAAATAGGCTTTTGTGGCTGTCAAGGTCACCGGCTTGATTAAGAATGGCAAGAGGGAGTCAGAAGTTCACTTCCTTTTCTTTCCAAGATTCATCCTTTTGTCTTCCCTTCCTTTCGTACTCTACAGTAGAGTAAATATACAGTACTGTGCATGGCAATCCCCACAATCCATTACAACAATCAAAAATTCAGGTCAAGCTTGTTGAAAAGCGTCAGCGAGAAAATGACAATAATAATGACATTATCGGCAATGTCTGCGACAACCCTTTTCTTTTTTACAACCCGGTGATTTTCCCGCCGCTACAGAAGCGTAATGTACTCTCCCCCAGTTGACTCGATTGCAGGAACATTACAATCTGACATTTTCTCAGCTCATTTCCAACTACTTTAAGGGCATTTCTCTGTTACTCTAACCACATTACGGTTTGAATACCGATTCCATGGCAGTACTCTTCTGTCCTTGCTTCCTTAGAAGTGATAATACTGACGTTTGATTCCTTGTTTATACGCCCCTTCCGTCTCCTCTTTATATTGACAATGACCTCGTACTTTAATTGCTTTGTCAAGGGAGGTTGTAAAAAGGGTCATGAAGCCTCCAGTGCAACATCCTCCTTGTTTAGATGCCTCTAGAGCTGCTCAGGGATAACATGTGGGTAATGAAACAATATATACACACGCTCACACACAGATCCAATCCCAGTTTACCCAACAAGCGCTTCCTGTGCTGCACCCAAATCCCCACACCAGCGTACCCGTCTCTTTTTAAATATTTGCGAAGTTTGTTTTCGGCTTGTGGATTTGTTTTATGATGATGTCTCCTAACACCCAAACGACCTGTTATTCTTGGCTTCTTCGGTGCATTGTAATTCACTTTTTGGGCTGTTTCCTCCTGCTCCATTTCAAATCCCACACATTTCAAGTCTATAATTAAAATGATTTGTGTTAATGTCAAAGACCACATCAAAACATATTTTTCCTTGCTCATATGAACGCAGTTTCTATATGGTTCCTGCTTGCATTCCTGCAGCAGCTTTTTTTTCCGTCAACATTATTGCTTGAAAAGGAACAGGGAAGCCATTTCTGTAAATACATTTGAAGCTGGGTTCTAGGTGGATGAGGATGCTTGACAGTGGTGTACAACTCAGAATTACACATCAGCTGACAAACAATGCGGTAATTGTGGGTCTTGAGACCTAGATAATGGGAATAAGAACTGATGCGTGAAGCTGTGTGTGTCTGCTTGGGTTTTTATCAGCGCTCTTATCTGTCTGTTTATGCGTCTTTTTGTATAGGAGATGTACTCTAAAGGTACGATCCTGGCCAGTGCTATCAAACAGGTGCGAGGACTCGGCGACAACAAGTTCGAAGTGCTTACCTCGCTTCGGACTTTCGTTTTCCGGGCTGAAAGAGAAGGTAGGACAAATGCTTCATATTATTTTTCTGCTTTTCGCAGTCCTCTTTCTGCCGCTCATTCTGTACTCCTCTTTCAAAGGATATTTTCAATGTTATTATATATTTTACATGACTCAAAATTCATTTAGCAAGGTACCCATATATTAAGAAATTGTTTACTCATTCTAGGAAATGTGTCTTCTTTTAGAGCGTGATAGAAGACAATTTCATGTCTGTTGTTGTTTGTAGCCTAGCAAAGCATAACAATTGCAGTTGAGCTAAAACAGCTTGCCTGGATTTGTAAGAATAACACAAATATATTGTCTTCCAAGAACTTGCAAGATCCCTAATATGTTGTTTTGAAAGTTTGTGCTTTCAGGGAAAGTTGCTCGCTAACATATTAGCTAAGTAATAACAGTAGCCATTGTTCAGAAAGTAAAAATGGCAACACACAACTTACCCTGTCCTTTCTGTTGCAACTACTCAACACACAGTCTGTATGACTTTGTGTATGTCTAAGTTAGTAGGTCTGTTTTCCCCGTGGATGTATAATAAGAACTGGATACGCCTCGTTCATTCCTATGAGAGTTGCTCATTGGCGCATGAAGACAAAATGGCCCAACTTTTGAGAGAGTGAAACGTCACAAAAGTATTCATATAATCCGTTCTTATTGTGCATCCATGGGTAAAGGTACAACTCATGTAGTACTGAACACGTCACATGAACGTGCCGGGCGGCGCTGTCCCGTGGGTTAGATCCGCGTTCATAATGCAGAGGTGGTGTACGGAAGTGTAGTACCGCCGTTTGGCCACAACGAATATTTTCCTCAGAGTCCGGCGCACTTCCTGGGGGCTTGGTTTCCCCCTGCTTCCAGTTTCTATGCTAAGCTAGGCTAAACAGGTATTGACCCTACCTCAAATACACATTCATCTTAATGAAAAGTAAACAAATCGGCATATTTCTCAAAAGGCCTCAATGTTTTTTTTCAGAATAAATAGTTCCGTGAATATAATTCTATGTAAATGAACTAATTCACAAATCTCCCAGGACCTGTCCTTTTAATAGTCCCACTCCTCCTTCCTCTCTTCATCCTTCTGTCAGACAAAACGAAGAAAGAGTAGTCTCTGCTCCTCGTCTTTTAGCTGGATTCTTTGTGTCGGCGTTAATGTTTGATGGCAGTCTATTACGCAGCTCAGGTCAAATTGCTCATGCACTAATCGACGGTCCATCTCTGGGATCAGATGCTGGCCGCCCTTTGGTTTCCCGCGGATGAGTCACATCGGAGAGTTTTGCATGATTATGGACCTTTGACTCATTCTGCGGTACAGTTTGAAAGATGTGAGGGCATAGAAGGATCTTTGAGATCATTAAGGCCTTTTTGCAAGTTATTGACGTCTACGAATATAATTATCAATACTTGATACACATCATAGATAATGAGCATCTGCTTATTGCTCTGGATAAGTTCAACTGGTGGTTTATTGCTCATTGTTAAGCAGAACTCATATAATATGAGTTTCTCAAAATCCTGTGTGTTAAACTGAGGCAAGTTGCACATAATTGTTCTTGGAAAGCAACTAATCAACAGCTAAAACTCTTGTTTTTATTAATCTTTTATCTTTTTCTTGCGAGCTGGGGAACGTCATGAAATACCCATGAACTTTTCTCTCAGTATTTGAGAGACCAAAATGTAGTTGAAAGTGAAAGAATGACTGCTAGTGTCGGATTTGTGAATGGGCTTGGTAACAAAGAAGCCATAGAATACAATGTTTTGTTTTTATAACCTTTATCGCTGCATCAAGTCTACCAAAAATCAGTTCTGAACTTCTGACTTTACAATGAAACACATTTTGTTTCAAAGTTTTGAAAGTCTGTTCGACTTCAGTCAAAGCCATTTCACGCAGAAGTGGATATATTTGATACAAGCTGAGATCTCAAAAACATGAACTCCAGTGAAACATTGCACACAGAATTAAGATTGATTTATTTACGGAGCTGATAAAGGGATATGCAATAGTAAAATATCCTTGCCAACTAACTAGAACACTAAATGGAGGCCCCTATACTCTCTTATAAACGCATCTTCATAATCATTGATCATCTCACCCATACACTGAATCAAGGCCTGATTTTATGTTTGTGTTTTCTTCTTCAACCACCTTTTGTTATGGTACTTCTTAAGACCTAGTTTTCTTGATGGAAGAATGGATTTGCTTTTTTACGATTGGATCTCCTTCCAGACAGTTGTGCATCCCCTCACATATAGATGTAGTCAACATCTTGCCCTTTCTAAACCTTCTTAAACTTCCTAAACTGAATTCTCACCAAACTGAGCCCCAGTGGTTCTTCGCCCTCACTCTTTCCATTCAGTGCATCATCATATCGACATCTGCCAGACCTTTGTGTCTGTTTAAGAGTCGCGGGTTCTACAGCGGCATCATTCATCACACTGTCTGCGAGCTGATCGTCATACGTCACACTCAGCCGTGCTGACAAGCGGGATCAGCGAGAAGCCCCCCTCGCAGAGGTGGCTGCTGCCGTCAGAAGAAAGAGTTGGGAAGAGAGGGGGAGAGAGAGAGAGAGAAGGAGGAGAAAACTTGGCCTCATCACCTCATGCATCTTTAAACAGGCCCACTCGCCTTGTGGCGGAGAGTCATCAATCTTTGGGGAAGCACATGAGAAAGAGGAAGACATGAGGAGACAGAGGGAGAGAGAAGGAGTAGGTTAGTGAAGTGGGCTGATGCAGTAGGAGTAAGAGGGGGGAGAAAATGATGGTGTGATGGTCAGAGGAGTGTGTAGGAAATGGAAAAGGCATCCACAAGGGACATTAGGAGAAGGGGGGATAGTGGAAACAAGGAAGGAAGCGATTAAATGAGGGAATAACAGGGATGGATGGAGCGAGAGAGGTAGACACGCAATCTCGGCGCGAGGAAGCAACAGAGAGGTAAAGGCAGGGACGGCAGGGGGAGATGAAAAGGGCAGAGTGAAGATAGAGAGGGGGGAGAGGAGGAGGGAGAAGCGAGTGAATAATTGAAGGCCACCGGAGAGAGTGGGCACACAGCTGTCGGCTGACTCTCCACTTGGTCCGCAGGTGGCCTCTTCCCTCAGGTACTGTCAGCTTGAGAGAGGAGAGATGGAAGGAGGAAGGAAGGAGGGAAGAGGAAAGGGTGGGGGAGAAGAAAACAAGAGGGAAGGGAGAGTTTGGCAAGAAGATACGCGAGCGGAGAGTGATGGAAAACGGTCGGGACAACAAGCGAGTGTTGGAGAAGGGGATGCAGACAAATGCGCTACAAGAGGGAAGATGGGATTTATGTGGTAACGAAATGTTGACGATTTGTATTCTGATGCTTTGGCAATTGCCTTTCCACAAAGCCTGCTCCGAACACATGTTGGTGTTGTCTGAGATGACAGGGAGGCAGATAAGAGAGAGATGTAGACAATAAGTTGGGATAACAACAAACGGGCCAGGGAGAGGAAGGCGGTAGCAATATAAACTCTGGAGGACGAGTGGGAGTACATTTGTATTAACTGTAGTAAATATTTCACTTTCTTATTTTAACACTCAGTGCCTGGTTTCAACATCAAACAACAATTAAACAAATGCATTAAAAGGTAGCTTTGAAGCTAATGTTTAGTGGTATTAACAAGCATTAGAACAACTATGCCAAGTAAGAAAAGTTCTCCTTGACATGAGGCAACAAAAATACAGGTATATATTTTAAATTAGATCCTGACTTAAAATACTGGATTTTGAAGTACATACTGCAACATGCCGGCTTCTAAGATCTCTGCTGAGCGCTAAGTGCACCTGGTTCTCATCTCATCCACTTTCAATGAGGATTATCTGCCTCTCTGCTCGTCTCTCGCCATGTAGAGTGGACGAGTGTTTCAATACATGGCTATACATACATCCCTTAACAAGCTGGATGTGGCTTCTGTTGGGCCAGCTGTGCACTTTTTTTATAGAGATAAGGGCATGTTTGCACAGAGAGTGAAAACAACTTTGGCAATCACGCGAGTTTGCGCAAACAAACAAAAACATATACTCCATCATATGCAAGACGAGCCAGAAGCCCACTTGCTAACCATCTCCTCAGTTTTGCTCAAGTTTCTTCCTCAATCCGCCCACTTCCTTTCCTTGCCTTCCCTCCCACTCTTAGATTGACAGCATGCGCGAAGAGGAGAGAAGGAGGAAGTGCCTGAATAAATGAACAGGCAAATAAGTGAGCGCAGGACAGGTAATGGAACTCCGAAAGCAAGGGTGGGAACGGAACAGTAAAGCCCAGTGATGTAAAGGTCGGTCAATAATTGAGTAGGCCATTCATTATTGATAGCGGCTCTTTGTAAATTCATAAGAATCCGGGGGGTAGCCAGACCCGAGCTGAGTTCAGGGCCAGGCAGCGGATACAGTATTTGGGAGCTCGGGAGGTGAGTGTGTGGGAGTGGGAGAAACTTTTCCTCAGATGTTGGTGGAAATGTCCACATGTGAGAGCGCGCAGAGGTCAGAAGGTCACGCAAACGCTCACCCTAAATTACCTGTTTAAAACCTGGCCAACCACTGCAGCATCAATTCATATTGAAATAATCATACCTGTGTAAAGTTCGACCTGTGGATACAAATACCATATCCATTATGCAGTCAACCAAAAAATACCTAAATGGATACAGAACAGTAAGCAACGCTAGAAGAAACAAAATCTATTACCATTCTGTTTTTAACTTTCTATGATTTGAACCCTGGTAAACTCTGTTCACCACTAACTATTAACAAATAAACAACACGTCCGTGGCTCTAAATTGCTGTCGGGTCACATTATTTTCCTTGATATATTTCCGTGGTTGCAGGATATGCATTAGGAGTACCACAATAATCTGCTACTGATATTTTAAGACTAAATTATACTCATTGACCAAACCAGTAATCGGCGCAAACGGCTATACTTCCCCTTTTTTCGTTTTCATTTTTTTTTATATCTGAAAAGCATGGCCAAGGCCAACGCTGCGATTTGGTCTTTGAGTTTCCCGCAGACATAGATGATTTGTTCCTTGTTATGAAGCTGACTTCCAACAGGTTGCATACACATTAACTCAATCAGGATCCTGCTGTGGTGGCAGATATGATTGATGCTGACTTAAAAGGCTACAAGGAAGCAGGGGAAAGATGTTGCGTATACTACCAGTTACATCCGCAGACCAAGATTTACACAGGCCATCAGATATCACTGAAGATAGGGTGCAAAGTATGACTTATACTAACTGCTAACAGATTTAAGTTAAGTAAGTGTGGATTTATCTTCATTTCTTTATTGAAATGTCCAATGGATTTTTTCTTCTTCAAAGATTCAGGACGTGGCATTTTAGTAGAATCTCTAACTTTGATGTGATTTGAGCTCCCACCCAGCTGTTCTTAAATGTGCACACTTTAACAGTATAACATTGGACAAACGTTTGCTCATGCTTACTCATTACCTATATAGCTAATAAAACAATTGATTTTGGCAACATGATTTATGTGTCAATGGTTTTATGTCTTTTGGCAA